AGTGAGACCCTGTGGACCCCCTCCCAATAAAAAAGAGAAAAGGAAAGAATGAGGTTTGAAGTTAACTCTTTAGAGTGCCATTGGCTCCGTTGACTTGAATTGTAGACACCGAAGTTAACTCTTTAGAGTGCTGTTGGTTCCATTGACTTGAATTGTAGATACTGAAGTTAACTCTTTAGAGGGCCGTTGTCTCCGTTGACTCATTGTGGATACTGCTTACATGTAAATCTCATTGATCTTTAGGTAATGGATAACTTTTTAATACAAGTGACAGGGAAGAAGCGAGTCACACTGTTCAGTCCTCGAGATGCACACTACTTATATTTATCAGGTATGGCTTGAGTTTATGTTTCTATAGTTTATTCTGTTGTCTTTAGTAATGTAGGAAGACCACACTTCAGGGTGTGGGAGTGGCGACAGGCAGTATAAAGAATGAGTCTCCAGACAAGGCAGGGTGGCGCTCACCTGTAATCCCAGCACTCGAGGGCAGAGGCAGGGTGGCGCTCACCTGTAATCCCAGCACTGGAGCGCAGAGGCAGGGTGGTGCTCACCTGTAACCCCAGCACTCGAGCGCAGAGGCACACCTTTAATCCCAGCACTCGAGCACAGAGGCAGGTGGATCTCTGAGTTCTAGCCCAGCCTCGTCTACAGAGTGAGTTCCAGGACAGCCAGGGCTGAGAAACCCTGTCTCTGAAAACCACAGAAAGGTTTCAGATGATTTCACTGGATTGCATGGATGATGGATGTTGGTTGTCTTGTATAAAGAATGGTCACTGAAAATTATCTTAGGCTTCAGAAGAATAGTTAGTTCTCACAGTGTAAATACAATAATTAAAGAGTTGAGTTTCAAGTTTATATTTGTGATTACTTTTTAAACAGTGCGGACTTGGTTCAATCTGTGTGATCTCTCTTGGGAACTAGGTTCTAAGTCAGAAGTGCTGAATATTGACAGCCCAGACCTAGATAAATACCCACTCTTCCCGAAGGCGCGGAGGTACGAGTGCTCCCTGGAAGCTGGCGATGTTCTCTTCATTCCTGGTAAGGCCTCTAGATCACACCAGCGTGTTTGCTGTGTTTATTTGTCTAGACGTACAGGTGCTTATCATTGGATCACAGCTGCCTCCGCTCCCGTCTTCAGGACAGTGGACTGCCTGCTGCACAGGGCTGTACCATCTTGTCTAGGGATGTAGTGGGCTGCTCGTGTATGTTAAATACCTTATATCTGGGAAAAGGTTCTACCTGGTTGTTTTTTAAAAATCATTTTATTTCTGAAATATATAGGCATTTTAGAAATGGTAAATATTTTCTAAGAAGATTATAAACTTTTATTAAATATCAAAATATTATAATATCAACATCTGAAAACTTCTGTATACAGTTTCAAGAAATAAACATTAATTTGGATGCTCATAAAATTTCCATGTTAGTAACTATGGTGATAGTTATTATCTGTAATTAACATTTACGTGCATACCTTAAAATTATAAAGACCCTAAGTAATGGGGTTTATTGACCAAGGTTCCTTGTGGAATTCTATTTGCTGTAATTCATAAGTTTGTAGTTCATAAACTATATATTTATTCAGTGATAGTATTAACTTTTGAAACATCTATAACCAGTGAAAGTCAGGTGACATACTTGAGGGTAGATTGTAGGTCCCGTGAGCATCAGGAACCACGGCCTTGCTAGTCTTGTACTCCTCCAAGGCAGCACCCTTCACACGTCTGGTCAGGGCCGTGATGCACTGACTTAGTACCGTACTTTTTTCAGCAGCTACTCCTTTATCTAGTCTATTGCCATTTAATAAATTAAATTTGTTTTTTGTGTCTTTAGAACATGATTAGAGCTATGTAGTTTTCTATTACTCTATATTCATTTTATCTGGAAATTAAGTATTTGCATATATTTTAATGTAAAACAAGATTTCCATCTTTAGATTTACCTATCAGAATGGTTAGATTTTTCTGGTATATTAACAAGTGAATAAAGATTCTGAAAGACCTTATAATTAAAACCAAAATGTTGAAGACGACTTTTATAAATTACTGTTTTTCCATGAACACTCCTAGAACAAGTGTTTCTAAGATTTAAACCCTCCTTCATAAGACTGAACACTTTGGCATGGTTAGCGCCCCATCTGCTCACGGAGGTGTTCTTTAATACTCTTATAGCGTGTACATTGTGAAGATGTTAGTGGAAAACAGTAAACTTGCTAGTGAAAATGAAAAGTAGCTAACTAGTGTGGTCAGGTTTCTTCTTCACCACCAAAGGGCCGACTGTGGTTTTCATGGTTTTATGGTAAAGGACTGGTCTGTGTCTGGTTTTAGAATCTAAAACCTGAAGCTACAGTGTGTGCCACCTTAAGTCAGGGGACCAGACTGCTTTGGAACAGGAAGATTTTGAGAACAAGGATGGAATTGGATCACCAAGGACCAGGCATGGTCTTCAAATAACTAAAATGCTCTGTGTACAAAACACTCCATGTTCTGATGTGATTGTGTGTGTCAGGAAGTGTAAACATGTAACACAGAAGCCTGCCCCAATCAGAGAATGCAAAGCAAATACACTTTATTATGTCTTTCATTCTAGGTGGGGAAAATGAAAATCCCTAAGGGGTTTAGAACAGTGCTCGTGACTCTGACTGAAAGCAGGGTCTGCAGCCCCAGGAGCCTGCTCTGTGCAGTCGTGATATTTCACTGACTATTTTTTTTTTTAAACTGTAAGTTTTATTTTTAACTTTGTTTTTTTAAAAAAAAAAAAACATTGTACAGCTTTATGGTTCCATAATGTGACTTCTGAGGCGTTTGGAGTCGGAGTGAATGTCTTTTGGAAGCACCTTCCATCGGAATGCTACGACAGAACAGACACCTATGGCAACAAAGACCCTGTGGCCGCATCCAGAGCTGTGCAAATCTTGGACAGAGCTTTGAAAACACTGGCTGAACTACCAGAGGAGTACAGGGACTTCTACGCACGCCAAATGGTCCTGCGTATTCAAGACAAAGCCTACAGCAAGAACTTGGAGTAAAAGAAAAATGAACTAATTGTAGTAAAAATTTAAATAAATAAAAATCAGCTCAAGAACTATAATATATAAACATTTAAAGATGCTTTTTTTTAAAACTGGATAAATCAGTCTCAGATCTGTGGTATAAAAGGAGATACATATCTGATTTCTACTTGGTACAGGCTGAGAGTGCTTAGTGGAACCATTCTGTAGTTCTTAGATGTAAAGAAGTAAATTCCTACTTAATAAAAAATGTATTGAATCACTACATGAAGTCTGCTGGTGGAATGACCCCTGGTTTCGCAGTGATTTATTAGTCCACCAGAAACCTTTGTTTGCCCCGCCCCCACCCCACTCTTTCAGCCGCAGGATTGGCATCATCCTAGGTCTAGCTGCCCTCGTGGTCCTGGATGGTTGCCAGTAGCAGCTGGGGCCTTGTGTGTCTTCATTTGTATGCAGTGGTGCAGTGGAGTCTCCTGGCCGGAATCCACAGGCTTCTTCCACGCAGCCGCTTTCCAGCATTTCCTACCAAGCCCGTGGCCTTAATGCTCTGAGTGGCTTAGCCTGTCCGTCAGTGAGCCCGTCGTCACACGCTGTAAGATTAAACAGGGGGATGTTCTTCCGTGAGGCACGAAGTGTATGAGAGAACAGAACGGGTTAGATACTTAGTAAAGCTTACAGGATGCTAACAGTGAACACATTTGATGGTGTATCTCGTCTCCCCTGGCCTCTCCTGCCATGTTGATGTTGTCTTTCTCTTTTTAGTTAGTACTTACATCTAAACTTCAATAGCTGGACAGGTGAGGATGCCAATGGATGTAATCTCTGGAGATAATGACCCATTTGTGTGTGTGCTATTCTTTATGACTATTACTCAGTGCCATTGAAGAACAATGGTCTTTAATGTACATGTGTCCATCTAAAGTAATCTGAGCCCATCAATTAAACACATTTTAATTACAGAGGAAACCATTACTGTTAAAGCTCATCCACCAGTGCCCTGTTTAGAGCTGGAGTAACTTCAGGCATTGAACAAAGAAAGGAAAAGTATATAAGAATCATGACTTTTCCTAGTCATCTTTGGAAGTAAAACTGAAATTACTGAGATGAGCAAAGGTAAAATGTGTACTGGGAAAAATGTTTTAGTACGCTGTACACTAGCCATGTCTAATCAGATTCTTTTTTCATCTTCTTAGCCTGAGCAAAGCACTGACTTTCTCAGAAAGGGAAAGATGTGAACCCTGACTTCACACAGTATTTAGTTAGCTTTGAGTTAACTAGCCAGTCGTATAGAGGGTTGGGAACACGCGGTGGTAGAGCACTCCCATAGCACAGGTACCTGTGTTCAGACCCAGCACCTAGAAAAGGTGTCACCAGGACCCAACTGACCTACACAGAACCTTGTTGGGTAGCCGAGGGAACCGGAGGATCTGTTCATCTTCACCTTGAAAGTGAAGCGATTATAACACAGTCTACAGAGTCAGGTAGGGACCAGCACCTGACTGAGGCTAGTCATCCATCTTCCTCTGAGACTTGCTGGCTCCTGAAGTCTACAGCACTGCAATGAATCCTGTGAGAAGTTTTCAGACAATTCTCCTGCTCATATTCTTAAATAAAGATGCTTTCGTCTTTTGGTTTAAGGCCAAGTGAATAACATAAACGTTAACTAACGTTAAATAACGTTCATTGGATTCAAAATACTTAAATTTGTTGAGTGGATGTGTGTTAGAAATCACATAATCACCCTGGAGTGCAGAGACGATTCTGGTTAACTGAGCGGCTACAGAAACATTACAGTGGTGGTGGCCATGAGTCACACCCCATCCTTCCAGCTGGTCCAGGGCTGAACGAGTTCATTGTCTCCCAACAAAGCAAATATACAGCTTACTAGATGCAGATATGAACATAAATGAAACCAACAGTCAATGGGAGGATGGCCGAATATATACAAAATACGCAACCACGGAGTCCGGATACGAGTTGGCATCAAATTCGTCCAGTTTAATACACAAAAACATTTAGACCTCTGCCGTTTGTACAGTGTATGCTCTGTAAACGTTTACATAGACAGGATTAGCTCTGCTGGGTACACAGCCAACCTAGTGACAGCAGCTGCTGAGATGAGGCCGAGAGGCCGTGGGAGACACACCTGTACATCGTGTTCAAAACATTTCAACACTGTTAGCTTTGCATGACTCAGTATTTGTCTTGGCCCAGGTCATGAAGAGCAGGTATTCCATGATTTCAAAGTATACGAAATACCAAGAGACAGTCAACAAGGCTAGGTTTCTTTTATCCTTTTGTAGCAGTTCTGTGAACATCTACACAGAACCAATAACAAGGCACATCTACTTACCTACAAAAAGCTGACGTTAACTCTTAGGAGGTGTGGAGTACGGTAGGTCTTTCGGGGAGGTGAAAGGCGGGCTGTGGTGACTCCTTCCGCCAGTGCTGGTTGGCAGGTGGGTCAAGAGGAATTACAGGCTGGCACTCTGGTGTTAACCTTGCTTCAAACGCGGAAGTCATCACTGGGTTTCTTAAACATGCCAGGAGATGCTGTCTCCATCACTGAGAACTGCAAAGTCCACTTCAGTTACACATGAGATCATTGCCCCTTGGTTGTTAATTCACCTTCCTCTAAGAGGACGTCGAATGGGATACTTTGTAGATGTTCCTTCCTAAATTCTGGTCTGTTGTGTTGTCTCACCGCTAACATGTTGCTGGGACTTGTTAGATCCTTGTGGCTTAGATTCTCCTTAGACTAGGCGGGTGCTTGGACATTGCAGAAATGAAATGAACCACACTATACTCTAACAGTCGTTTATGGGGATAAAGGAGTATAGATAGCTAAGATGAGCAGCAAAGAAAAGGGAGAGGTTTTAGGAATTCCTCTAGTGTCCTACGGACAGTTATGGAGCAGCTAACCAGTGTACTCAGTGGAAGGACAGCTGTTCGCCTGGAAAAGACAGGAAAGTTGAAGCAGACACAGTAGCAAGGTGGACAAACACATCCAAACGGCCTTTCTGTGGGTTACTCTTTTTAATACAGGTTCACATCCATGCTGCGGTACGAACAAAGTTCACATCTCTAGGACAGCTTCTCTCGGTGACTTTACAAAGGCACTGCCAAGTAAGACCCACATTTACAGTAACAGATTTAACGCATACAGTTTTAAAACCCATGTGGAAGAGGACGAATCTGTAGTTTTACACAGAAATGCCCGTGTGGGGACAAACAACCATTTCCACTCCAAAGCACTCGTACTACTCAACACTGTCTCCAGAGGCCATGGCAGTTTTAGGTGTCCCTCGGATCAATGTCCACTTCACCGCAACAATGGAACACTCCCATGAGTGGAGACTGAAGGACCGAGACAAGCCTTCCCTCCATATGACCATTCGAATTCAGCTGTTCTACATTGAGTGGTACCTTTGATGATGGTTAAACAAGTTGAATGCAGTCACCCAATCATAGGGCTCTAAGTTAAGGAAATACACGATCAGGTAGAACCAGGTAACTTGGTCTACTGTGGGAAGTGCTAGTCTCAAAAGACATTCAAAGTGAAACAACAGACAACTACTGAGAAAATGTAGACACTCATCTGTAGTCGACAGAACTACATTCATTCCAAACATCTGGCGTGGGTGAATACTGAGAATAGAGAGTGATTTAAATGTAATTCTGGAAGAGATCAAGAAATTAACATGTTGCATACTAACACTACGCTTTAGGATACATTTTCTTTTCGATCCCAAAGCAGCATGTTATTTCCCTATTTGGTTAAAACTTTAGAGGTCATGGAATAACCAAATTTATTCATAAATAAAAAGTGCCACTTTCAATAGCCACACAGCTTTGTTCCAGTACTGCTTGAAATTCGTTAGATTTTGGTTTTTTTCAAAATGCATTTATCTAGTAAAGAAAAATGGGCAGAAGGAAACTTCACCCAAATTATGTAGCAGTGTTAAGCAAATTCAGTTTCTGGGCCAAAATTTAAATTATTTGTGTCTTCAAACTTTCCTTTGTAACCTTTCTTATCTCAATGTAATTTTACATTTGGCCAAAGAAAGCTATTTTCTCTTGGCAGACAAAACCATGCTTCTGAAGAAACACTGATTTAGGTCTGCGGAATCTGTCTCCTTGTGACAGCAAACTAACATAATTAAAAACTGTCAATTAAGAATTAAGTTACAGTGCTTAGTCTACTATGTTTTAAAAACCAACTGTACAACTCTATGATCTTGGATATGCAGGAATAAATATATTTTAACTTTAAAAAACAAAAAACAAAAACAAAAAAAAAACCGAATACTTGGGAGAACTGAGAATGAGTTCAGGGGCTCACAAAACTTTCCCGGGAGGGAGGATGTAGGGTGCAAGTCTTCCCCAGGACCCTTGGACAGAGAAAGAATGAAATGTCTGGTCAACGGCTGAACTGCTGTTATTACCAACGTTAGTGGAGAAGAGGTCTCAAAAGATTGGCTGTTCTCAACACAAACACTAAGACTAACACCAAGTTTCTTCCGTTTTCAAAGGACATAGAATTATCACACACGACCCTTCTGGATTTCAAATTAATTCTGATCCAACCCAAAGTTAAAGCTGCCCACATGTACAAGCAAGGAGTCCTACTGTGTAAGACACTCAAGAGTTCTGGAATGTTCATCTTCTTAGCCCACAAGCTGACAATGCATCTAACTACCCTGACATTACGTCACCTGTAATCATGACAAAGGACGCAGTTTTCCCGCTGAGGAAGCACGCTAGGTCTCAGAACACTTCATGAACCCTGAAGTGATTCTCTATGGAGGGAGTTTCCTTTGCGAAATGAATTTGGCTAGTCACCTGCACGCCCAGATCCCCAAGGATCTGAACAAATTTCCTGTGCTCCTTGCCAATCCAGGACCTCATTGGATCTTGTACCTGATATGGTGTCACATGGGTGTGGACAGTAATCCCAGTTTGAGCAAATTCCTTCAAGACTTCAGGATATGTGACCCAAGTGTCGCTTCCCCCAGAATGACCACCATCCAGCCAATACATTGTTCTTATACTTCTGATGAAAGTGTCTATGTTCTTGTCTTTCTTGGCTTCCTTCAACTCAAACAGCAACTGATTCAAAACTACGCAGCCTTTACTGAATCCAACCAAAGTGAACGAGGCGCCATTCAGCGACAGTGGAGAAAAACTCACAGCGGCCACGCCAGCGTTTCCACAGGTCCTCTCGTTCTCCTGGCCACCATTACGAGAAGTAGAAGGATTAGACTCACAGTTAGCTGCTCTACAGTCCTTATTCCAAACACTCCTCGTCTTGGACAGCGAGCCGTTCTGAGATAAGCTGAAAGCGTTAACTAATAACATATACAGGTGCTTAAAGGCTCCGAAGTCCGGGTCGTGCTCAGGTGCGCCGAACATGTTGCTTTTCACGAAGTTGTCATAGCAACTGAATTTGTGCAGGTGCATCCGCGAGCACTTGACCACCCAGATAAAGCTGTTGGGGAAACGGCGGGCCAGGATGGCGGCAGTATTTTCTAGACTCCAGTTTTCCCACTGATAATTCTCAGGATGACGAGTCATGACCTCATGGTAATTCTGAAAAGAAAGATAAACACACATTGAAAGTGTATTTACCTATAAAGCTTTGCATTATTTTCCAAGGTTTGTTGACCTATGGTTAATGTACTCAAAATAAAACCTAAAACCTTTTAGTGCTTTCTGGCTCTAAGATTTTGAATGAAACACTTCACTTGGCCTTAACTTCATTAAGAGACAGGGTATTGCACTTAATACTTGCACTAAGTATTAAGAATTTCTGAATAAAACAATCTAGAAAGATAAATTTTAGCTTTAAAAATCATTTATAACTTTTATTTAGTGCATATGTAATAAAGTTCCCTAATTCAATTGAAAATATAAATTTGATTACAGATCTTTTGATCAAGACATAATTTAGGAATATTTTCTTCCCAGTGAGCTGTGGTCCTGCTCTCTGGGATGAGTCTGTCACAGGCATGGAGACTCTCCCAGCGTCCTGACTGCTATGCCTGACGCCAGTATTTCTCTTGCAAAGTTGCAGGATGGCACAGAAAATCTTAACGCGAATCCGTAACTACATCTAAAACTCCTGTGAGGGGACACCAGGTGTTAAATAATCACAAGTTAAAGTTGGTGATCGAGACTACAAAATTGCCTTCCGTGGTTTTCTTTTGAACTTGTTCAGTTTCACAGGCATGGGACAGCTCAAATTTAGATGTATTAAAAATTATTACTATCTAGATCTTTGCTCTTGTCTGTGCATCATTTGCCTTTTGTACAGATTTTGTTTGTTTAGATGCAGTCTGTATAAAGTAATGCTGTGTTTTTGTTCTGACCATACAGTATTTCCTCATATACATAACGCATGTACACATGTACTAGAGAACACTGACCTGCTAGCTGTGTACATTTTAATCATTTCTAACACTGCTGAACTTAGAATTTTTTCTTTATATATTTGTAGGTAGAGTTAATTTTGGTAGTAGTCTATTTTTAATAGGAAAAATGTACAGAACACTTAACATTCAAACCGCGAAAGGCTTTCAAGTGAAGAAGCCTTACCTCATGGTCTCTACCAAGCAACCATAAGCTTAGATATAATTTTCTCTTAAAATATTCTAAAAGGCATGACTCTATAGCAATACAGACGTGCATCACAGTATTTGAATGCCAGTAAAATACCCCTGGAACTAACAGTGAAGTCTGCACTGGCAATGCACAACGACACACTGGTTTCCACACTCTGGCACAAGAACACACTGATTTCCACACTCTCTGGCAATGCACAAGAACACACTGGTTTCCACACTCTGGCACAAGAACACACTGATTTCCACACTCTCTGGCAATGCACAAGAACACACTGATTTCCACACTCTTTGGCAATGCACAAGAACACACTGATTTCCACACTCTCTGGCAATGCACAAGAACACACTGATTTCCACACTCTCTGGCAATGCACAAGAACACACTGATTTCCACACTCTCTGGCAATGCACAAGAACACACTGGTTTCCACACTCTCTGGCAATGCACAGAACACACTGGTTTCCACACTCTTACTTCGCTTCAATGCTAATGGTTCATTTTTAAAATCCTGGTAGAATAAGATTATGCAGTGTTCTAGATTTAATTTTCATATTGGATTTCAAGTTAGGTTAAACATTTTTCTGTTTGCTGGCTATTTTATTTTTTATTTTTGTTAACTATGCTTATGCCCTTTGATAACTTCCTCACTGTAATGTTCAACTCCTAATAATTTACTTCATTAATCATTTGCCACATGTCTATTAGTAGCTGTGTATGTTTGAAATATATTCCAAGCGGCTCTTAAGTTGACTTTTTATGGATTTTGCCATTACCTTCTTCACATCCAGGTTTATTATACAAAAACCGTCATAAAATAAGCAGTTTAGCTCTGGAAGGGCTTATCTGTTACTTTCTGTTACTGTTTTTAAACATTATTTTTGTGTGTACCGGTGTGTGTGGAAGCCACAGGACGTCTGCAGGAAAGCTTCTCTCCTTGCACCCTGTGAGTCTTGGGAACTGAACTCAGATGTCCAGCGTGACAACAATCACCTTTACCCACGAAGCCATCTTGTCTTTGAGACAAGGTGTCAGGTAGTCTACGCTGGCCTTGAACTCCTTACGTAGCTGAGAAAGACACTGAGCTGTTTTTCCTGCCTCCTACTTAGTTCACTTCATAAGCTTGGTGTGGTAGCATATGCCTGTAATCTCAGCACTCAGGAAGCTGAGCCCGATTGGATCCAGAATTCAAGAGCAGCCTGGGCTACACACAGTGAAGCCATCGAGAAATAACAAATAAATATGCAAGCTTATTATAATTGAGAACTCCAAAGTCCCACACCTATACAATTGCTTGCATTACTATTTAATGAGCCAAGTGAAACAGATTTGCTGACTCAGTTCAGGCTGTGCCTCATAGCAGGTGCTGTAAATCTAAACATCAGCCCCCACCAGCTCCAGTTACATGATCAAAAAGGGGCTAAAAGTGTTAATACTGACGACCTGAGCAGCAAAATGAACACTGGGATCCTTACTGTTACATCAAATCCAGACCCAAGAACCATGGGCAGGTGCTTCCCTACCCTGAGATGTGGCCCAGACACCCCATAGTCAAACTCTCTATGCACCCAGGCTGTTAACTACAGTTAACTGACTAAAAGGGGTTTCTTTCGAATCTTTGTCTTACTGGGATAAACTGCATTCACTATGCTTGCAGGAAGTAGGTAAAGGCTGCGTCTCTGCTCATGCCCAGTGAGGTGGACCTAGGAGGGCTCAGCCCAGTTAGACGCTTGCTGACCTGCAGGTACTGCAGAGGTCCAGCCCAGATTACACTGAAGTGGGCCAAAGAATCTTTTCGGAAAACTTCATGGTTCCCAGAGTTTAGAAACAGTCATGCCGTTGATGAGCTACCCTCTGAACCACCTGAGAAGGAAGAGGAGAGCTACACCAGGAGAAGCTGCACATCTCTAAAGATGCACCAGCGGAATAAAGTACACAGCCCAACTAAGCAGGGACTAGGAACCAGCTGAAGGGAACAGCTTAAGAAAGGGCTGGATGACCCCAGAGAATAAGGTCAAGACATACTCTCACGGTCATTTACTCTTCGGGAAAGCCAGATCTGATGACACTGGCGATCCTGGTACTCGGGGCCGCTGGCTCTTTCTACGGAGGAAGATACATATGGAGGGTTTCGAAAGGGGCGGTATAAGGAGACCTCCACTGTTTTAGATGCACTAAGAGGCACGGTGGAGGCGCTGCAGTTAGCGCTGGGTTAGAGATAAGGTAGGAAATCCACCTAGGAGGACTTCAAATTTCTGAGCTGAGCGACTTAAGTCGGAATTTTCATTAACTTGGACGAGGAAGACTGCGGAGGAATGAATAGATTTTCGGTTCTAGACGGCTACTAAATATCAAAGGAAGCAACTGGCATGCAATTGGTGAATCCATAAACATCCAGCTTATGTCTAGACGAAATAAATATTGTCAGGGAACAATAGACAGAGCCACAAGAGTGAAGGCATAGAGAAGTCCGCGCCTGGAGCACTCCAGTGCCTGAAGGGGAGGAGGGGTGGCACTCGCTGGGCTCTTCCAGTATTTAACCTTGACTGAAGCCCACAGAGGGGAGGTTTGACTTCCACACAGGCTTTAGGCTAAAGCGCACGGAAGGGAGTGTTAGGTCTAGGCAGTTTGGCCTTGGAACCTCTAAAACATGCCACACTGAGCACAATGACCACTCTGTCGTTGTCCAGGAAGCTAACGGCGCAACAGAAGCCGCCACTCAGACCATACCTGCAGCACTTTGGGCCCCATTCGAAGACAGAGGGATGTTCTGTCTGGCACACTCACGCCACAAAGTACGAAGCCGCCATGACCACCACCACCACCACCACCACTAAGACGCATTTAGTTGCTGGTCGCAAATCTCTGCAAGTTAATGTCAGAGGCAACATATCTGTTGCATTCAGAGTACAAAGGCACCAACTGAGTAGATTTCCTTACATCTAAATCCGAGTTTTGTTCTTTTTCCAGGTCCCATTATAGCAGTCAACCAGTCAAGTCAATGGATTAGTTTGAGAGCAAGAGAAGATACTAAGTACCACTATGATCGTTAGGTTTATCATCCTCAAGTACCAAGTTTAAAACAATGATAGTTTTGAACAAATCCTAGTACGGGGAAAGCATCCGGTTGTTCTATTCTAACTTGCACGTCTACGCTAGCGCTAACAGAACTTTCTGGGCTGGCTGATGCTCGACGGAAAGGCTCTCTGGATCTGCGATCTGCGCTGTCCAACATAGGACACACAAGTCACCTGGGGTGACTGACACCTGGCACACAACTAAAGGGACAGAGAGCCCTGCCTCTTCCTGTTAACCAAGTCAGATACTCTCACGTGGTTGGTTAATGTATTCCTCACACAACGCAGTTTTAGACGAAAACCCGGCTTCCAGGACAGCTCCAGCGTGGACGTAGCTCTGCAGCTGTGAACCCAGCAACACCAAGGACGCACACCGCACCGCGCTGCATTCAAACGGGCCTCAGCATCCCTAGCATGGTTGGCCATTCCATTTCTTCCACCCCGTGTTTGAGGGTTACAGATGAGGTCACACTTCAGTAACGGATCAACGGCTGTATTTTAGTGAGACGGCGTTTTCCAAACTGTGCTCCGTGCCTAGCACGCACACCGTTGTCCCAGACAAGGCTGGAGCTGAGCGAGCGTGTCCCACTCCCTGCAACGCCTCTCCTTCCCCCGACCCCAGCGGCCCCGGGACCGACAGACAAACCGCGGCCTCCACGGTCCCTTCCCCACCCCCACCCCGCCCGCCCGACTCCCGTGTGACAACCCGCGTGGGCGTGTCGGGGAGGCCGGGCCCGCGTTACCTGCACATCCCCCGGGAAGTAGAGGACGTGGTGCCGCGGCTCCAGGGCCGCCTCGTCCCCGGCCGCCAGCAGCAGCAGCTCGTTGCAGCGCTGCGGGTCGGAGCCCGGCACGGTGGAGCGCTGCAAGCGGGGGCAGCAGCCCCGCGCGCCGCCGCCCGCGTTCATGGCTTGGGGCTGCGAGCCGGGCACCGAGGCTCCGGAGGAAGCGAGCAGCGGCCGCAGGAGCAGCAGCACCAGCGCCGGGGACCGCGGCCGCCGCCTGAACAACCTCATCGGGGGCGGAGGGGGAGGGAGGTCGAGCCGCCGGGGCCGCGCACCGGGCGGCCAGGGCGGGGCCTCCGCTGCCCAACGGCCCCGGCTCGCCGCCGGCGTCAGCGCGCCGCGTGCGTCGGGGGGCGGGGCGGGAGAGGGCGGGGCCCGCGGAAGGACGCTTGTGATTGGTGGACGAGGCTCACGCCGGGAAGTTCGGAGTGAAGTCGCGGAGCCCGGAGCCTGGAGTCTGCTGCGGTTTGGGCTTCTGCGCGGTAGCGGCTGCTCGGGGTCGCTGCGCGATCGAGTAGGGTGTAGGAGTTCACGGTGAGGTTTATGTGGTCAGGGACAGAGCAGGGTAATTCTGGAAGTCTTTCGCGTGCCCCCTAGCGGAAGCAATCTCCTTTATCCTGCAAAAAGAGTGTGTGTATTTCCCGTTGGTAGAGGGAGCAGGGCACCGGGGAGACTGAGGATCGCCCTGCTTGCTGGCACATGTACTGTAGCGGATGTGTACAGCCTGTAGGACCTTCCATGTAGGGTTTTGTAAGCAGTTTGAAAATGATAGGAATGCTATGAGAACAGCAGCTTCTGATGTCTAATTGTGTCGGAATAGAATTGGGCCAGTTTATGCATTTTTCTTTTTAAATTAAGAAGTGTTATTTTAACGCTGTGTGTGCGCACATACTGCGGACGTGAACGTGGGTTTGTTTACCGGTGTAGGCCTGAGGTGGACTTTGGGTGTGAGGAGTGAGAATTCTGGAAAGGAGTCGAAACTTAAATTGAAGTTTCTGCAGGAGTGAAAAACTGCTTAGAACTTGAGCGACTGGGGACAAGTTATACTGTCGCAAGTCTGGAGCCTCGTTATAATCTATCCTGAGCTGCCTTTAGCCTTTTCTAGCCCCTCCAGTGTCCCTGAATGGCCAGCTTCCTGGTAAATATCAGGTGAGACCTTTGGAATGTGTTAGCTTCTTAGCAGGGCATCAGCTTCAACCCGCCCAGAAGCTAAGAAAGTTCACAGATTACATAGGGGCCAGAAAAGAGATTTTTCCACCTGACATTTCAACCGATGTATTGGAAAGACTTGATTTATGCAAGATGTTCTATGTTGATACTGTAAAACTTCAGCTCACTAACTCAGTTCTCCTTTGAGGTGAGAGCAGTGTCTTGTGTCCTCCGTCTCCATCTTTTTAACTTTTTTATTTATTGACTTTTTGTTTGACAGCAGCTCCCTGAGCTTCAACTCATGGAGTGGACTACACTGGGCTAGCCAAGGAGCCCAGTGGTTTGCAAGCTCTAAGATTATGTATGTGGGTCGCTGGGCTCTCTGTATTTTGTGGATGATGGAGGATCCAATTCAGGTCCTCACACACTTTGGAGAAAGAAACAGGGTACTGTACCAACTAAGTCACCTCCCAGCCATATTCTGCAAAAGTTCATGTATTTATAGCAGAAACAACTTAGCAAATAATAAAATAAAATTCCTGTAGTGAATTTCGCTAACCACCATTTTCTTAGTGGCGTCAGAGACGTGTGATTTGTCAATCGACTTGGATATAAACTATTGGCTTTCATCTGACATAATAAATATAACAGGTGTTTAGAATGAGAATGACCCCCCCCCCGCACCGCCCCATAGACCCATATTTGACCACTTAGTCTCTATCTGGTGGAACCGTTGGAAAAGGATTACGATGTGTGCTCATGGAGGTGGCGCATCAATGGGGGTGGTTTTGAGGTTTCAGAAGCCCACGCTGTTTTCAGTTTGCTCTCAGCCCCGTGCTTCTGGATCAAGACATAAGCTCTCATCAACTACACTAGCCCTAGCCCCATGCCTGCCTGCTGCCATGCTCCCTACCACGATGGTCATGGATTCTAACCCTCTGGAACCGTAAGCTCCAAATTAAATGCTTTCTTTTGTAAGTTGCCTTGGTCATGTTTTTTGTTTGTTTGTTTATTTGTTTAATCACAGCAATAGAAAAGTAAGACAAACCAAAAAAATATTCAATTGCTATTACAAAGCATTGCTTTATAAAATGGCTAGTTAAGAAGAAATGGAGGTTAATTGTACAATGATTATTGTAATCCCACCAAGAAAGCCAGTCTGGACTTCAGTTCTGCAAGTCACATGTCCCTTTCACTAGGCAGAGGACTGTTATGCTCCAGGCTCCAGGCTCAAGTAGGACTTGTATTGCTAATGTAGCTTTTGAGTCCTATGGTTTGGTTCTCCAGGTTAACTGATTACAGAAACAGTCCTAAGTTGAAGGGAACAGGACGTACTTGTGTTTAGAAAGAAAATTAATTGTAACAAATACTAAATATCTTAAAGTAGTCTCAGTATCTCTGGGATAATTGAGGCCTTTGAGAAACACAAAAGAAGAGCTGAAGAACAAAGAAGCAAACTGAAGTGAGCCAAACTCCCTGTGACACAGTCGCAGGTGCACGGCCCTGCTCGGTCACACATGCACAGCCCTGCTCGGTCACACGTTCACGGCCCTGCACGGTCACACGTGCACGGCCCTGCTCGGTCACACGTGCACGGCCCTGCTCGGTCACACGTGCACGGCCCTGCACGGTCACACGTGCACGGCCCTGCTCGGTCACACGTGCACAACCCTGCTCGGTCACACGTGCACGGCCCTGCTCGGTCACACGTGCACAACCCTGCTCGGTCACACGTCGCACGGCCCTGCTCGGTCACACGTGCACGGCCCTGCACGGTCACACGTGCACGGCCCTGCTCGGTCACACGTGCACAACCCTGCTCGGTCACACGTGCACGGCCCTGCTCGGTCACACGTGCACAACCCTGCTCGGTCACACGTCGCACGGCCCTGCTCGGTCACACGTGCACAACCCTGCTCGGTCACACGTGCACAGCCCTGCTCGGTCACACGTGCATAGCCCTGCACGGTCACACGTGCATTCACACGTGCACAGCCCTGCACGGTCACACGTGCACAGCCCTGCACGGTCACACGTGCATTCACACGTGCACAGCCTTGCTCGGTCACACGTGCACGGCCCTGCTCGGTCACACGTGCACGGCCCTGCACGGTCACACATGCATTCACACGTGCACAGCCCTGCACGGTCACACGTGCACAGCCCTGCTCGGTCACACGTGCACGGCCCTGCTCGGTCACACGTGCACAACCCTGCTCGGTCACACGTGCATAGCCCTGCATGGTCACACGTGCATTCACACGTGCACAGCCCTGCACGGTCACACGTGCACGGCCCTGCACGGTCACACGTGCATTCACACGTGCACAGCCCTGCACGGTCACACGTGCACAGCCCTGCACGGTCACACGTGCACAGCCCTGCATATAATGGTTAACTAACAGTATTTAAATACATTATCCATGATTCACTGTCAAGAAAATATAATCAATTAAAAACAAGTTAATTGTCAACAAAATATTATCAGCTGAAATCCAACAATGTGTAATGAGAATTATGCATCATAACTGAGTGGTGTGTGTAGCTGGGCATGGTAGTGTGCACCTATAACCCCAGTGCCCACGAGACTGAGGAAGGAGGATTACGGGTTCGAGTCTGGCTTCACAGTAAGACCCTGTCTCAAAAGGACACAACAAAGAGATTGCTCCCTTGAATAAATCTTGAGATTTATTCTAGGAATCAAAGATCGGTTTTACATCGGAAAATCAATATTATATGCCATATGAATATCATAAACTAAAAATATTATAGACATACACAAATAATATTGGCAAAACATAGCATACTCTCATGATGTAAACCATTTGGCGAACCAGGAATAAAAGAGAATTTTCTCGACCTAATAAAAGCCATTATGAAAACCTACAATAATGTAACACTTAATGGCTAAAAGATAGAATATTTTCACTCTAAAAATAGAACAAGATAGAATGCTTATTCTTGCAGCCTCTAATCAGTATCACGCTATAAGTTTAAGCAGAGGAATTAGGCAAGGAAGAAAGAATCCAGACATAAATGGATTTATGAAGACATAAATCTGTGCCGATGCCTTGATACTGTCTATGGAAAAATCTTAAGGAACCTACTGAAAGTAATAAACGAGTTGAGCCGTGTTACAAAATCAATATGTAACAATCAAGTGTTTTTCAGCTGTTGGTAATGGAAAATCTAAAAATAAAGTAATAAAAATTTCATTTACTCTAGTAAAAATATACTGATGAGTACATTTAATGAAAGAAATGTAGAACGTGCATGCTAAAAGCCACAGAGCTGTTTAAAGATTAAAGAGAATGTAAATAGGTAGAAACTAAGCTAATGTCCATGGGTCAGAAGATGTTAGATTGTTAGAAACAAAGCTAATGTTCAGAAGATGTTAGATTGCTAAAGCTGCTGCTTCTTTCAAAATCGATCTGTTAATTCAGTGCCACCCACATTAAAAATCCCGTCTTGTTTTGCTGGTTCTGGGATGCACAGAGCCAGATTCAAAATACAATCTACATCCCTCTTGGGAAAGATGGAAAAAGTTGGAAGACTCACAATTTTCCATTTCAAAACAGCAATGCTGTGTTGACTAAAGCGGTGTCGACAGTCATAATGGAGAGGGTTAGGATAGCAGGTCTTCTCAAGAGCCTGGTGACTCTGCATAGCCCAAGTTACCACGAGGAGGAGATGCCTGCTGTGAAGATCCAGGATGGCAGGATGCCATTCCAGCCTGGAGAGTCCCAGTCCTGCAGAGACTGCCAAAAGATGGAAGAGTTAGAGGCCAGCCCACCCTCTCAGGATTCCCAGCTCAAGAAAATTCAGCAAAAGAGAGTGGCAGGTAGGTTTCTGGAGAAGTGGCTTTGGTTTTCTGTTTTCTTATACCAGTGTCCTTGACTGAGAGGACAAGCCATGGCATTGGTTCCTGAAGTTTCTAGAAGCTACCAGACTTTCTGGCCTAAGGCTCACCATAGGAAAGTGAAAGTTACTGGGCTCAGCCAGCCAATGCTTTGTAAATAATACGAAATAAAAAGAGTCAAAAGGGGAAATAGACAAGCTGAATTTTAGCTATATAAAACAACTTGTTATTTCAAATGATATTAGTCAAATGTGAAAAAGACGATCCCAAAACATGGACATTTCTGGTACTCAGTAATGAAG